CACACAGTATACGTATGCCTAAGGCTGTCAACATGACCCTCGACACCCTGTTTGCGTATACCATCTCTCTTTTACTTTCCGTTCCTCTAAACTCGACGTGCCCCGGCGTATTCCTGCACATATTACTCTATTCATCTTCCAGCTCCCTCTATTTATATTCTTTTGCGCTCCGTCTCTCTCCTCTTCCTGCTTCCCAGACATCTCTCTGATAAATACCCTAGTTATGAATTATATTGTAGTTCTTGTGGCTGAACCAACCAGAGCGCAATAATTCCTCACTGTACAACAATACAATCTGACAACCCAATAGAGCTCTTAAATAAAAGGAAAGTAAGGAAACGGCTCACACACACACACACCATAAATTTCCTTTAGACATTTCAGTTGAGTCGTCTAACTTCATGGGAAATCGGTGAATTAAACAACAGGGTTGAGCTCGCATCCTTGATAACAATACAACACGCATTAATCAGTATTAGTGAACGTCTAAGTGATTGTGCCCTCAATTCATCTGTTTTGCATTAGATCTATGAACTCAATTGCTCCTGTGTGTTTAATTGAACCTGGACTCAAAAATGGCAAAAGAAATAAACCCAAAATTCATGTTTACAAGGTACAATGAACACATCTGAGGACAAACTTACTGGTTGGTTAGGCAAAGTTGTGATTGTGAGTTTCATGATGATTTAATTGATTTTAAGTTTGGTTCATATGATTAGTCTTAAGTAAACAAGATATCCTCTCTAGCCTATATTTCTCTTTGGTTGTACAGTTTAATCAGGTTTTCACCATCGTCTAAACATCACATAATAAATAAAAACTGTAAATGTAACTTACAGACAACACTGAAAGCAAAAATGGAGAATAATATGAGACAATAACAGTCAATTAGAACATTTTTATTAATAGCATACGTGTATTACATGTAGTGTATACACTACTGTTCTAAAGTTTGGGGTTGTTAAGATTTTTTAATGTTTAGAAGTCTCTTATGCTCACCAAGGCTGCATTTATTTGATTATAAAATACATTACAAATTGTGAAATATTATTACAATTTAAAATTAACTGTTTTCTGTTTGATTATATTGTAAAATGTAATTTATTCCTGTGATCAAAGCGGAATTTTCAGCATCATTACTCCAGTTTTCAGTATCACATGATCCTTCGGAAATAATTCGATGCACAAGAAACATTTCTTATTATTATTAATGTTGAAAACAGTTGTTCTGCTTCATATTTTTGTGGAAACCATTAATTTCCTCCCCAAATGGCATCTCTTGCTGCTTTATTGCATTGCATCTGATTAGGACTCAGGGTAAAATGATGCCAGTTGTCAAACATCTGGCTTGGCATGACTAACGAAGCCCAAACTAAATCTTGCAAACCACATTTACTAAAACCATTTGTCCCAATCATTCCAGACCAGAATGAAACTCAGCCGGCCAAAAAACAAGCCAGCGAGTGACTGCTGTTTCCTGTTTCTAAACCAGTTCAGGTGTCACATGACTGACTGTTATTCCACTGACACCCCGTCTGCTCCTGAAATAGTCTCTCCAGCCTAAAATTACACTCTACTGCTCTCTTTTACAGTGACCCCACTCCAAACACATACACAGAAACACACACCTCAGAGTAAAAGTAGCTCATTTCTTTTTAAGATGCCCAGTTCTATAATCGGGAACCCTTCAGACACATTCAGAGTTCATAATACATGTCTTAAACTGAAAATAATGACTAGTATTATCATAATTCACTGTGCAAAACGTCCTAATTGCATTTTCCATTAAGACATTTTCATCATGACAATAAAGAACATCCATTCTATAATTGTCATTATTTTTTTGTGAAATTTTTGTATATAATAATAATAATGTATTTAAATATAATATAATATAATAATTAGTGATCGACCGATATTGATTTTTTTAATAACCGATACGATACCAATTATTTGCATGGTTATGTGCCCGATAACCGATATGCAGAACCAATATTTATTTACTGTTATAAAGTTAAAACATGATTTGAGGGTAAAGCTGAGTCAATACTGAGACCAAAATAAATAAATAATACTACAAATTAATTAATTAAAATTGTACATAATTAAATAGGAAACACAATTTACACAATATTTATTTAAATTCTATAAAAATAAATATTTGAAAATATAAAAATGAATTTTTCATTGACAAGACAATGTCAACAAACTAGAAAAATCACCTCTTAATCGGCCAGTTGGAAAACTTAAAAAACTAACTTCACGAAAAACGAACTTCTTATTTCTTTCTTTGGTTTTGGGGTAAAAAGAGCCCTGTTCTTGGCACGTTTCATGAGATTCAGCTGTGTGTGTTTCTGCATAAGTTCCAGAAGTGCATGTATATGGAAGCATTCATATTGTGTTTTTCTGCATCTGTGTGTGATCCAACAAGGTTAATGTTCGTAACCCTTACATAAATCTACTGCGGCTCTTTTCCAGCGTTGTGTTTTCCGGCAACTGGCTCATGGTAGCGATAGACCCCACAGGAACGTATGAATGTGCAGCCACACGTCTGCTCATGACAGTCCAACATGAGTACATGAGCCAAACAAACCCTATAGCTCACCTCTGATTAACTCACGCTGCATTCCCTACGGAACTCACGTCATCTAAATATACAGCTCCATTTACACACATGCACTCTTAAAATAAAGCTTCTTTACTAGCATTGATGGCTCTATGAAGAACCTTAAACATCCATGGAATCTTTCCATTAACAAAAGGCTCTTTATAGTGGAAAAAAAAAGTTCTTTAGATTTTTTAAATGGTTCTTTTAAGAATTGTTCACTGAAAGGTTCTTTGGGGAACCAAAAATGGCATAACCTCTTTTAGAACCTTTATTTGTTAAGGAATAGTTCACCAAAAAATGAACATTTGCTGAAAAAGTCCATCCCCTGTTGTCCTCTGACAACAAAATCCACCATCATATTAGTTTAGAACCATTTGGACTGTTTCAGCTTGTAAATGGTGCTTCTGTGCAGATTTCTCTCCTGACTCAGACAAGACAACTTTTTCACCAGAGGAAGTAATATTATGCATTATGGACACATTTTAGATGGAAACAATAGTTTGAAGTTAAAGCATGTTAATGATGGATTTGTTTCTTACAAACATGCAGCTTTTGGCTTCACAAGATGTTAATTGATGGACTGGAGGGGTGTGGATTACTTTTTGGACTCTCATTCTGACGGCACCCATTCACTGCAGTGCATCCATGATGGCAAGTGATGGAATGCTACATTTCTCCAAATCTGTTCTGATGAAGAAACAAACTCACCTTCATCTTAGATGGCCTTTCAGCAAATATTCATTTTTGGGTGAACTACTACTTTAAGCGTGTATGAAAGAGAAATCTCTTTAATATCACAACTGCAGTTTTTAGACAACAAAATGTTAAATGGAGATCAAATGGAGACAAAAGAGTTTGCTGTGAAAAAGACACCAGTAATCTCAATGTATCCGTCATGCACACAACATTGAATTAGCAGGAGAAACACATCATGAAACATAATTTCCTCTGTGTGAAGTGAACTTGAACAGACTGACAGTAAAGAGCCGAAGGCATGATGAAATAAAACATGTCTAACATCTGCCACACACAAATTTCTGACGGATGTGTTTGCCCTCAGAACCAATGACCACTGGACGTTACAGAAATGTTACAGGGATGAAAATTTGAGGAGAAAAATGGACACTTCCACTAGTTTCGGCATGATAGTTCACCCAAAAAAAAAATCTACTAATTTCTATCTTCTTTAGGCCACAAAAGCAGCTGCTTTTTATCAAAATGTTAATTTTGCTCTTTTTTGCACAACGAAAGTATATGGTGACCAGAGGCTGTCAAGCTCCAAAAACAACCAAAATGTATCAATAAAAGTGCTTATTTAAAATCTCTTGTTGATAATATAATCACAAAGTACACAATTTTATGGACAAAGTGAGTCAAAAATAGACACTGCAACCCTTTTTGCTTTCATAAAAAGCATAATTAAAAATATTAAAGGCAATCATTTCCATTCAAATGTTAATTTATTTAGCTAATTCCTTTTTATAAATTGATAGCCACTAACCACTTTCATTGTATGGAAAACAACCTGCTTTTTTTGCGGTTGTAAATAAAACAAAAATTATTAGGGAATGTGATACAAGAAAATACCATTTCGATCTTTCTACTTCAAACTTTCAACGTGATCCTCGCCATTTGTTTCTTTGTAATTATTTGTGAGATTTACTAGCAATGTCTGAGTGAAAACTGTTTCAAATTAAAGTGCCCCTATTATGCCTTTTCGAATATTACCTTTAACGTCCTGCTCCAGTCGTGCTTGTGAATCAGTCTCTTGTCGATCAGCCAGTTCAACCATTTCATCATCAGACTCTGGCTTGAATTGGTAAGGTGCAATCGATACCATCTTTTCTATGTATTGACAAGTCTCCAGGGCTGTCATTCCGTCATGGCAATGGTCGTTTCGTTTCCGACACGCGCTGTACGCGCTCACGGAAAGGAGGGGTTTAGAGAGACTGATTCTTTGAACTGCTTCGCGCGAGTTGTTTACGAATCATTTAGAAATGAGGTCAAATTAAATCTATATTTTGAGAAAACTAACGTGTTTTTTTACCTTGCATGCATGTAAACCTGTTTTAGGAGACTCATAAAACAATATTAGCAACCTTAAAAATGGCATAACAGGGGCACTTTAAATCCTACATCAATATTTCTCAGTGTAAATTTTCACAAAATGGGTTTCAAGAAACATAGGAGCAATTTTTAGCTGAACTATGCCTTTAAGCTTTCCTACAAATAAAATCTTGATTACATGTCACAAACATATCAAGAGAACACAGAAGAAGTAGAAAACTGAAGTTGTTACTGAACTGCGTTCAACGGTTAGACCCTTTCTGCCTGAAATAGATGAAACAAAAAGCCATTAGAGAAAAACAGAGAGAGATTAAAAGAGACATACCCCTGGTAGAGTCTTCTGTTCATGCAATGCATTCTGGGCTTTGATGGCTGATTCACGAGCGCAGTAGGTGAGGAACGCGCAGCCTGTAAAAATGAGACGAGAATCAGATACGAAACTGTGCACTCCTACACGAAACACACACACTCATGTACCAAAGCTGTGTGTTTCGCTTCCACGCTGCCATTTAACACAAATCAGAGTTATAAACATTAATGTTTATTGCATTATTTCAGTATCATGTGTCACCATGATGGGGTTTAGTGTTTGTGTGAATGACACTGTGCACCTTCTATATATAAGTATTGCCCTCCTCAGCTCGTAGAAAAGCTGTTTGTGATGAGCTTTGGTTCATCATGTGACTTTCTCATCACCACCAGGTTTTGGTGGTTATCAGTGCATTACAATGGTTCAAAACAGATATTAGTACTTCAATATGTTGGTTTATTAGCATTACATCAGTTAATGAAATACTGTATTTTATTGTGAATTTAAGTTAAGTCTGTAAAACCTAAAATGTTGCTACCATATTTTTTACGGTGAAGTTCTGGCATCCACAGCTGCCGGTATTTTACCGTAAATGTCACAGATTTTTTTTTACAGTGTAGATTTTTACGTTCTGAGCAAACATGAGTGATGTTGCTGTTGCTGTTGCTGTTGCTGTTGCTGTTGTGATGCAAGTGTGTTCTGGGTTGTTGCCACAGCATTGCTGTGCAGTTGCAATAGTAATAGTGATGTTTGAATTAACATACATTAACATGTATTTGATTTATCCAAAGTGACTTACAAATAAAGGACACCGCATGCAATCTGCAGCAATGCCACATTTAAAGTATATACTGTAGTAGATTTGGAACAGGGTTACGACCCTACCGCCAGTGTTTTGGCTGCCCTGGCCTTGTAACCTCAGCTCAATGCCTCTGCTCCCAAAATAGCAGCTAGAAATGATTTCCAATGACCATGATCAGGCATCAGTCACATCTGTCATTCTGTGCTCTCTTTTTCACGGGTGTGTGGCCACAATAGACTTAAGCACATGAATTAATTTACCCCATAACAATTATGAGTAAGGGGATACGATGTCACATTCTATGGCTGTTTTGCTTTATAGTATGTATATTGTTGTAACTTTGAATAAAAACGTTAATAATGAATACAAAATGTAAACTACTTTTGTAAACTACTACTTTTTAATAAGACATTAATTGTGAATAGTGTTGATATTGTTAACTTAAAAAAAATATATATTAATTACAATAACGTAATGTAAAATACTTTGGAAAAACATGAACTGTGAACAGTGTTGTTATTGTAAAGCAAAACTAAAAAAAAATCGTTTTCATTAATTGATATAAAGCTGAAATACAAATATAAATATCAGACAAAGAACTTACTTAAAATCAAAGAAATTTAGAAAATAAGAATAAGTTGAAATACTAAAATGACTAAAACTGAAATAAAATAAATTACAAGTAACAACGTATTAGCAATAAACAATAATGTGATATACGAATAATGTCAAATACGTTTTAATAAAGCATTTACTGTGAAGAGTGTTGCTATTGTTAACTAAAACTTAAAAATCATTTTCATCAATTGAAATGAAAATATGTTTAATAAGTTGGAGCACTAAAATGACTAAACCTAAAACTGAAATAAAACAATTTAAAGCTAAAAAGAAATATTACAAAACTAATCAAATTTACAAAAGCACTTAAAATGAAAACTGAAAGTATAAAAATGAAAGCTAATTCAAACTATCAATAAATATTATATATAATTAATTCAAAAATAGTACTGATTGTTAACACTGAATTGTGGCTTCTACAAAAGCATGTACTAACCTTTAACAACCTCATGGTAAGTCTGTCTAGAAAAGTACAGGGAAAAAAGTAATTTGAGCTACTTTTGGCATTGAAATGAATGCTAGGTTTGTCCTAAATCACTTTAATTCACCCTATACATTCACATTTTGGCTATCAATCAGCTTGATTAGGTGGATTTCAATATTTTAAATCCTGAGTTATCTATATTCTATCTTGCAAGTTGGCTTTGTGCTAATCAGAAAGTTTTCAAAAAATAATATTAAAAAAGGTTAACATTAATTAAAACTATCTTAAGAAGCACATTCCTTTCTATTCGGCCTTTTTTCTACATCTTCATATTCACATTCAGCCTCTCCCGAACATTAAAACACAAATAAATTAATTATATTCTGAATTAAAACTACTGCATTTCCCATTGGAGCCGGCTCTCCAAGATCAGACAAAGAATTCAAAGGAATTTTAAAGCAGTTTGGGGCGATCTGGAGCGGCCCAGCCTGTTCGCATTCCCGTCCATTGTTCTGACAGTGATATTTTCACAGCTACAGTATAATTGGCTTGTAATGATTGCCGTTATAGGAGCAGTAGTCTAGCGTAACCTGTAAACCTTAATTAAACCAGTCACATTCAGATGGACCCAAACCAACCCTCTGAGCGCAGCCGCGTGTCCGGAGCGAACGGACCACCTCATGTAGAACTAATCACACACACACACACACAGGTTTGTTTTTGTGAAAAGTGGGGACATCCCATAGGCGTAATGGTTTTTATACTGTACAAACTGTATGTGCTATTGCCCTACACCAACCCTACACCTAAACCTACCCTTCACAGGAAACTTTGTGCTATTTCAGATTTTCAATACACTCCATTCTGTGCGATTTATATGCATTTTGAAAAGTGGGGACATGGGGTAATGTCCTGAAAAGTCACCTTCTCCTTGTAATACCTATGTCATACCCTTGTCATTATACAAATGTATGTCCTCATTTGTCACAAAAACGCGCACACACACACACACACACACACACACACACACACACAGAGGGAACAGTGTTTAGAGAGAGCAGAAAGTGTAACAGCTCTCATATGTATTCGTGTTGCACATCTGTGTCCGTTCAACAGGAATATCACTATAATACATGAACACTGGCACAGCATGCAGACAACTAACATTCTCTAGAAATCAACACAATCTCATTAGCAGCTCATCCATGCCACAACAGATTAAGAAGCTTGTAAAACTAGTTTAAAGACCCAATGAATCTGTTTTGACATTCAGAGTATACTATCCTGCATTGACGTATTACCTACTGAAATTGGAAGCTGAGCTGGGACATATAAAAAAGGCGGCAACACTTAGGGTCCTATTAGTAAACGTTAATTAATTACCTAAAATTAACTACACTAAAAGATACAAAACGGTCACTGGGGCTGCACCCTTCCAAAATATATTAATATGTACGCTTAAGGTACTAATATATATAGTATTAAAGTTCTAATATGTATCTTTTTTAAGGAACTAATATATATGTGACCCTGGACCACAAAACCAGTCATAAGGGTCAATTTTTCGAAATTGAAAATAAGCTTAAATAAGATTTCCATTGATGTATGGTTTGTTAGGATAGGACAATATTTGGCCGAGATACAACTATTTGAAAATCTGGAATCTGAGGGAGCAAAAAAATAAAAATATTCAGAAACTCGCCTTTAAAGTTGTCCAAATTAAGTTCTTAGCAATGCATCTTACTAATCAAAAATTAGGTTTTAATATATTTACAGTAGGAAATTTTCAAAATATTTTCATGGAACATGATCTTTATTTAATATCCTAATGATTTTTGGCATAAAATAAAAATCTATAATTTTGACCCATACAATGTTTTTTTGGCTATTGTATAAGTTTTGTGCTCCAGGGTAACATCATTTAGGGGTAAATAAGATTAAACCTTTTTAGCTTTTGTACCATAGGGTACAGCGCCAGCGACAGCTTTGTACTTTTTTTTCTGAGAATGTAATATTTGTTATAGTATTTATTAGTCTTTGTTAATATTAGTTAAAAACACAACCATTAAATAACATTATAAAACTTTTTATTTTAATAGTTAACTACACACACACACACACACACACACACACACACACACACAGAGGGAACAGTGTTTAGAGAGAGCAGAAAGTGTAACAGCTCTCATATGTATTCGTGTTGCACATCTGTGTCCGTTCAACAGGAATATCACTATAATACATGAACACTGGCACAGCATGCAGACAACTAACATTCTCTAGAAATCAACACAATCTCATTAGCAGCTCATCCATGCCACAACAGATTAAGAAGCTTGTAAAACTAGTTTAAAGACCCAATGAATCTGTTTTGACATTCAGAGTATACTATCCTGCATTGACGTATTACCTACTGAAATTGGAAGCTGAGCTGGGACATATAAAAAAGGCGGCAACACTTAGGGTCCTATTAGTAAACGTTAATTAATTACCTAAAATTAACTACACTAAAAGATACAAAACGGTCACTGGGGCTGCACCCTTCCAAAATATATTAATATGTACGCTTAAGGTACTAATATATATAGTATTAAAGTTCTAATATGTATCTTTTTTAAGGAACTAATATATATGTGACCCTGGACCACAAAACCAGTCATAAGGGTCAATTTTTCGAAATTGAAAATAAGCTTAAATAAGATTTCCATTGATGTATGGTTTGTTAGGATAGGACAATATTTGGCCGAGATACAACTATTTGAAAATCTGGAATCTGAGGGAGCAAAAAAATAAAAATATTCAGAAACTCGCCTTTAAAGTTGTCCAAATTAAGTTCTTAGCAATGCATCTTACTAATCAAAAATTAGGTTTTAATATATTTACAGTAGGAAATTTTCAAAATATTTTCATGGAACATGATCTTTATTTAATATCCTAATGATTTTTGGCATAAAATAAAAATCTATAATTTTGACCCATACAATGTTTTTTTGGCTATTGTATAAGTTTTGTGCTCCAGGGTAACATCATTTAGGGGTAAATAAGATTAAACCTTTTTAGCTTTTGTACCATAGGGTACAGCGCCAGCGACAGCTTTGTACTTTTTTTTCTGAGAATGTAATATTTGTTATAGTATTTATTAGTCTTTGTTAATATTAGTTAAAAACACAACCATTAAATAACATTATAAAACTTTTTATTTTAATAGTTAACTAATGTTAACAAATGAAACCTTATAAACTGTTACCAAAAGG